GCCGCACTTGCTTCCTTCTTGTGTGACTCAATCTGCTCTGCTGCTACCTTCTTGTGACTTTCCAGCTCTTGCTGCTGAGCTGACAAAGCTTTTAATGAAGCTTCTTTGTGATCACCAAACTCCTTCTTGTGAACTTCAAGTGCTGCAGCCACTGTAGCTGCTTCTTCCTTGTGGCTTTGCAAGGATTTTCCCAAGATTGAGAGCTCTTTCTTATGGGCATCCAGTTGCTCTGAAGTCGATTCCTCAGTAAACGGATAAGAAAAAACACTCGAAATGTGCGAGCCTGTGATCTTGTGAGTTCCAGTTTGCGGCACTGCTTGGTCTGCTAAGTCCGCCGAGAATCAAAATGTTTGACTGTCTCAATCTTGTGCACAGTAAGTGCCTCGTTGGTGCTGGCCATCACTTGTGATGCTTCTTTCTTATGTTCTTCCAAATTCATGTGTATCTCTTGCTTCTGTGCCTCATGCGTTGTGCAAAGGTGCAAAAACTGCCTGAATATTGAACATCAAGGACTTCGAATAGAACACAAAAAAGCGCGGGGTCTTGACAAAGTCAACACACACAAGTTCATATATACATGGATCATTCAATCAATTGATCCTCCAACGGAAAAAAAGAAAAACTCCTTTCCCCGTATTGATGGTGCCTCGAGGGTTTTGATCAGGTTGGCTTTGGTTTCACTTAAATTCTTCGCTGTGGCATCCTGCTGCAGCTTCATACTGCTCGAGACCTCAAAAGAATTATATGTGGAATGGGGGCCGAAGACAAGCTTCACAAAACTCAGTTCTGAAGATTTATGTATTCAAACAAACTGTTAGTTTCTTCATACGTGAAAACATCAGTATGCCTCCTCTTTGTGCGCGTCCAAAGACTTGGTGATGAGCCACAAAGCCTTGGCAGTCTGTTCGACGCAAACATGACAGACCAAGCCTTGGCAGTCATTTTTGTGGTGTTATATATCTATTTATGATTATATATAGATATATATGTACACAAACATAGTGTATATATATATATATAAAGGCTCAAACCCCTGTCCGTCCAGCCCTTTTTGCTTCGCAAGACCTTATTAGTCAAAAGAAATTGAACAACGTACAGAAAAAACATTCGTCTCCGGATCTCTCTCTGATCCATTCTCCCCCTAAAGTTTCTTCCCGCCACACCGAGAAAAAACTTTAGCTCGAGGAGGTTAAAGTACTTTAAGCCACGTTCATGCACCTCCGCCACACCGAAGGCACACAAACCTCATGGTTTTTTCTTTAAAAGGTGGAAAAGAAATTTGCGATCTCCCTCGCGCCTCTTTGTTCTCTTGCGTTT